GGTGAAATCGATCGCCGGACCTCCGGGCCGAGGAACCACCTCGTCAACCGACGGGATTTCGCCGGACTCCATCTGTTCTGCACCTCCCATTGTCGGAGATGGTCCTTCAACTACCGGAAAATCTACCGGAGGAGCACCGTGAGAAGAACTGACTGCCATTGTTGATCTACTGAAGACAAATGTTGTCACAATCAAAGGAAAGAAAAGAGAAGATGAATTAGCAAAACGAAAAAGTTTCCTCAGAATCTCTCTCTCAGATGAACAATGAAGATATGAGGAATAAATGCCTCAACCCACCTTTATAGGCAACATAAATGGCTTTTGCGAAGCCCAATGGCCATCATTAACTGCACGACCAACCGTAAAACGGTTCGGTTCTGTCGTAACAAGCGTCATTATGACGAGCTCCGTAAAGCGGCTTCTCAGCCATCCGCCAGCATACCGCCGTCAGAACAATCGCTACGACCTGTGAACACTGAAAGAATGTGTCGTACGCCGTTAAAATTTTGGAAGACCAAATACGTACTCGGCGCATATTCATTCCCCACGGCCATCTCCAATATATAAAAGGCTACGGCCGTCCTCAATATGCGAAAGGCTACAGCCATCTCCAATATATAAAAGGCTACAGCCATCTTCAATATATGAAAGCTACGGCCAACCTCAACATATGAAAGGCTACGGCCATCTCTAATGTATAAAAGGCTCTCCAATGTACGCAAGGCTACGGCCAGCACCAACGTGTAAACGGCTAAGGCCACCGCCGCCAATAAGACGATCCCCCTTATTCGAGTTGTTTTCAAATCACAATCGACGAAGTCCGCTCATCGAGCTCGGCCGAGGCCCGACCTCAATAAGCGGAGGGACTAACTGTATAGGTCAAAATCCGACCCCATGATAATTAACGGAGTTAATCTCGTCCTGAGCTAATACATAATTAATAAAGTGGTATGGCCACTTTATTCGTAACAGGACTCGACTCTTGTCCGATTTAATCTACAAGGGTACGGCCCAGTCATTCCCCCATAGGGACGAAACTTCAGCATGGCCACGGCCATTTATTGCCAGCTCACAAAGCTCACATCTATAAATACGAAGAGCAGTAGCCCTAGAAAAGGGGAGCTTCTTCACCACTAGTGAGAGGAGAGAGAAACGAGAAAATATACCCCTCTTATGGGAAGAGAAAAACACCATTGTAAGGCTCTGAACCTCTTCATGGAGAGGCAGACCAAACAAATATTATCAATAAAGGTTTCTAATGCTTCTCCCCCTAATTTTGAGTTCTTGTTTTCATTTCTTTCAATTGGTCCAACAGATTATTACGATTTGCTATGATTATCCCAAGATTAATTTATATTATTTTGTACTCGTAAAATATATAACATTTTTTGAGCGAACAGTTATAAATTTTAATAGTACCATTGTTAAGATAATTGGACAATTGTACCCATAATATTCCGCTCACAGGAAATCGCAAAAAGGTAAAAGTATATGATGATTAAAAGCAGTACTGAAAACCCAGTTTTCACAATTTATACAAAACACTACAATTATTTTGAATTTTATTATTATTATCATAGTCCCCTATAGCACTGCATTTTACACATTTTCTTAACACTTAAATAGCAAAGAGAATTTACAGTCATACAAAACGACAACCCTCCCACCCACCCCATGACCCACCCCCTCCTCCATCCTTATCCTCCAAAATGCGGTGCTTGTATATACATACGTAGACCCGCACACACTCGATCCCAACCATTTCCTCTTCCTTATCTTCCTCTCTGATCAAACGAGTGTTGAGCATGCAGATTTTGCAGGGTCCCACATGGCAGGAAGCAAGAACCTACGCCCATTCACCCCATGCGCATTATAGCTAGCGCCCGTACTCTTATCAACAAGTACTTGACCCGGATAACCTGGATATGAACCCGACCCAAACATCCCAGTACACGCCGAAACGGCCTCCAAAGGCGCCGTCGCTGGGCCCTGAAAATACCCATTATTAAACGGGTTCGTTACTGTTCCCGCCAACACCGTAGCCACGTTGATAATCATTCCGTCAACACCAACGTCGCCGTTAGGCGCAACTAACGGCGGAGACTGTGGGCCGTAAATGGGCTGATGAAACGGCCACGCACACTGACCTGCACACTGAGTCTCCGAGTTACCAACCCAAGCATAAGCAAAACGGATTTTGCCACGTGTCGAACCATGGGACCCACATCTGCTCATACAAAAACCCTCTACAAAAACATCCTTCGCCGTTAACACCAAGTTAACAGACCTTCCCATATGACCACCTTTCGAAGCCAAATACACAATATGCGAATTTTTCAGAGATTTTCCTAGAGAACAATTTTCCTCTAGGATTTGTTTCCCTACGATGAGGGTAGAGGCACCAGTTTTGTATTTTTCAGTTGTTTTCCACCAAGATGCAGCCGAAGGAAGCGGGGCTTTTGGGGAGTTGAGAGATTGAAGAAAATCAACGATTATGGACCGTTGGATGGGTGTGAACTTACCGTACCAGATGAGATTAACGGTGATGGTTCCTTTTAAAAGAGCACCGTTATGGTATTTGAGAACAAGGGGCTGTTCCTTTACCAGAGCAGCCATGGAAGCTACGAAGAGAGAAGTGGAACATAAGAGGAGCAGTAGGATTGAAGGTACAGTGGCAGAACTGTAATTTGAAGCCATATTGGAGGATTAAGAAGACTTTACAAAAGCGTATTGTACAAGGGAGAGGGAGGAAGAAGAAGAAGAGAGTAATTGAGAAGGAAAGCAGAGTGATATTTATAGTAGGGGCTAAAGACTTGGGAAGTAGAGGAGACAGCTGTAGGAAAGGAGAGGTCAACATCAGGATGTGATACGTGGAGTATTGTAATTGGGTTATGGTGGAGACTAAGGGAGGGGGAGTATATGCCAGGCTGGAATGTTCTGATGATGACGTGGTGGTCTACACGGGAGATCTTTAATGAAGGAGAGTTTAAGCAAAGGCAGAGAAAGGCATGGTTCTGAACGTGACGTGGAGTATGGCATTGCATGCAGCGATGTTGACGTGTGTGTTACACTGAGTCTTTATTATTTTCTCTTATTATAATAAATATAAATATATTCTCGTTGAAAAGAAAATCCCGACTTTTATTAATTAGTTTTAATTAATAGGGTAATCTGAAAACGGTTTTACAGTAAAAATTAGAAATTGTGCTTATGAATTATGATAATCAAATTTTGTAAGAGGCTAAAACGGAAATGTAACTATGCCAATTCCTACAGAGACAGAGTCAAAATTTAAAGTTTATGGGTTCGGAATCTTATCTTTTTAAATTATTGGGTTTTAAATAATAAATTGTATATATTCGATGATCTTTTTTTAAGACAATATATTATTTGAATATAAGCTACTGGGTTCGATCGAATCCATACGTCGTGCTCTAGCTCCGCCTTTGAATTCCTAGGCCCTTTATCAAAGGCATGTATAGCATCTTGCCAGCTATTTTATCCATGTGTAAGTTATACGTGAATTAGTTATTAATGTTATTGGTGGTATAAACTAATACGTTATTTAGTGTAATTAAGTTATATAAGAATTAGTTATATATGATCTAAAATATAAATCAAATATTGAATAAAAATACAACAAATTATATACCACAATTACTTTCCTTTAAATATCTTCCCAGACAACCCCACAGTGTTTGGAGCTAATAAGCTGGTAAGTATATTAAATATCCAAGCATTACTAAATAGTTGCGATATTAATTTTGAATTATTATTGGTAAAACCATACCCAGTAAACTACGGTGCACAGTGGGACATTGAAAGTTGTATGGGCTAAAATTCATCTTTAGTTGAAATGATATTAGTAAAACATTCTTGGGGCATCACGCCGCAGTAATCTGATTATAAGCAAAGGTCGTGGTCGATGTGTCATCAAGTCTGAAGTCGAGGTGACATTATCGAGAACGAAGTCGAGCATGTTTGACAGAGTTATAACGGCTAATGGTAAGATAGACGTAATGGAAATATTCTAGTGGATATTCTCTGTATTTGTACTATTAGGATTTCTTGAAACATATTCGCTATAAATAGAAAGAGACATAGTTATAGGAGACATGTGATATTCATTTTGTAAAAATACACTTTGACTAGAGAGAGAGAATCGGATCTCATTTTAATATACAAACATCACATTTTTACTGAGATTCTTGTCTACACTTTTCCACTATATTCGAGAATAACTCAAATATTCAAAGAATCGTCTATCACTCATCATTGTCAGAAAGAAATTCAATTATTTTTTGTGTAACTCATTCATTCTATTTACTTAAATGTCATTTATTGCTACTCGTTGATATTGAATGCTACACTCTTGCCTTTGATTTTTGAAATATTTATTGTATGCTGCCTCCATTGTCCGACTATATCTACATAGTATTTGTTGCTTTTTTAAAGAACTCCATCTATGAAATATTATTGTTAGCTAAATTTAACGTTCATTTATATAAATTTAATTATTTGAACCAAGATTTATATTGTTTTGTCAAACAAAATTAATGTGATAAAGTTCAAAATTGGGAATTGGTAAGCAAGAAAAAAGCCATGGACCACGCGGCCTACATTAGGCCTTGGAGTTGGTAGAGAACCTTGAGGACCACACAGTCCGTAGATGTCAAGTAATATCCAATTTTTTTCTAGGAGAAAATTGAGTGGTATTTCATTAAACATTCAATAACAAATGGACTACTATATATATGTAATACACTTTATTTTATTCAGAATCAAATAATGAATGATAAGATAATTTTTGTTACAATAGGAACACTATAAATAGGTCGAATCTGATCCTAATCTTTATTTTTAAAAGTATCTAAACAAAATGTTAGGTGCCAAGTTTTTTTGAGTAAAATTAGAAATGAACTGAAGCTAAAAGGAAAGCTGTGTTGCATTATTTGAGGGCAAGGAAGATAGGGCCACTCAAAATAAATGCATCAGCAATGGTGACTTTAGGTGCAGTATTTCAGATTCCGAGGCCACTACTGCTTCTCTTATTTTGTATGTTTCCATATTTTCAAAACACTGCAGCGACCGTCAAAGGATGTGGTGCAGTGCTCTTTTTTCAGTCAGAGGTTTTGAGTTCGAGCTCTGGGTATGGAAAAATTATTGGTAAGGAGCGCTTCCCCTCGAATGGGGTCCTATGCGGCACGAATACGAATATAATCGGGCTCCAATACAAATATCGGACACCGGGTGAGAAACTAAGAAGAAGAAAAAACACGTGGCGGGTTCCAACCAGCCACATATTATATTTGAATGAATTGATTATCAAATGTTGAATGGATTATACTCCGGTTCACTTTTATAGTTTTATGGATGATTTAAGTTCAACTTTTGTGTAACAAAATAGTACTAGTAATTCGATTTTAATACCTACAACATTTCATTTACACATCTAATAATGTTCGTATTATCATAAAAATTTCATTGCATATTCAAACATTATAAATTCTAAAAATATATTCTTGACATGATTTGAAATCTTTATTTCCTTCTTAACTCTGTTCAGTCATAGCATAAAATAAAAAGAATGAAATAATAAAATTAGGAGTAACTTGGTGCGCGAATCTTTCAATGCACATTGGGTAGTGCTGAATATAGTTAATTATAAAAGCATTCCGTATGAATAATTTTATTGGGTAGACTTCCTAGAAGGAGCAAATATAAAATAAATATTTCATCCGTTTTAGTTTGATTGAGCTTTTTTGGGAGTAGGATAGTCAAATTAACTAGTTTTTTGTGTAAATTCGGATATAAATTTTTTAAATTTTATGAAATAAAATTTATATATTTAAAATAATATAAAAATTATTATAAATTATAATAATTACCAATTCAACATATACAAAACTATATGTAAAACATATGCTTAAAAAGATATTGTTTGATTTATCAAATAGTAATAATTCATTCTTTGTGAGACTGATAGCGCAAAACATAGAACGAGCAATATGCCGATTCGCAATTTTGTGAACCATACATCTCAATTGGTAACTTATTTTAAAGTAATAATATTTCAAGGAACAACTGGATGATAATATGCGAGTTATACCCTACAATTCATATTAGTGGGTTGTTGAGTCTTGAAACAAGTGACTTAGCAAAGTTTTTGTAAAAGTGATTTGCTTGGGGTTTTAAAAACGCGCAGTCGAATATGGAAGGTCGGCTGCCGACCATCCTCTTCGATTTTCACTATTGATTTCTTTTGTTCTGTTTTGTGGTTTTGCATTGCAGTTAAACACGACATGTCTTAAGAGTCTCTGCCAAAACCAATTTGAAAAATCAACTAAAGAGTAAAAGAAGCAATTCAGCTTCTTGTTTGTGTATTGAAGTTCTTAACTTGTCGGGTGGTAGTAATTTTGTACTAGGTTGAAGTGATTTTATTAAGATTAAAATGAAAAAGCAGAACGTATAGATGCTCAGAATATAATAACGAGCCATAAAAGCTATTAGTATTAAAAAAGATGGGATTCGACTATTGTATATGAATTCCGTGAATTGATTTTGGAAGCTTTTACAAAATACTTGTGTTTTTATAGGTTTTGATCTTCCAAATAAAGCGACCAATAATTACAGAATTTTGACGTAAATATTCAGAACTTCAGTCGCTTTTCAGAAAACTTAAGAAAATTCTATAAATCGATTGTTGTTGTAATCTATCTATACTATATTAAAAGCACGAAGCCCCTATCGAAATGTTGACCGACTTTTTTACCCTTCGTAAGTGTATTTTATGGTGGATAAAATTGTAATTTTAAATACTAATTATTTTTCTGGAAAAGAAAACCAAAAACTGCCGTTTATTGCCTTTTTCTATTGAGTACAACTTTTTCCTATTTAGGTTTTGGATTCATTATAAAATTTAGGATTTTGCTGTCCATTAAGGTCGCTAATTAATGCTACGTCTTACTTTGTTTAGGTATTCTTTTGTTTTGTTTAGTTATACGATTCACTAATTTTTCTTTGTTTGAAAAAAATAAAAAATTCTCATGTCTTTTCTTTGTTTAGTTTTAGGATTCACTATTATTTTCCTTTTGTGGAGGAAAACCAAAAAATTGCCCTTTTTTGGAATCCGGATTTCCTTTATTTAGGTTTAGGTCCTTTTCTTTTTTTCGGTTTGCATCGACTAATTCTTTTTGGTGAAAAAACTAAAAAATTTAGGATTTAGGCATAACTTGTTGTTGTTGAATTGACATTGTATCTGAATATTTTTTGACGTATACGTATTTTTTCTTTGTTTAGGTTTACGATTCCCTTATCTTTAGATTCCTTTTACTAAAACTGCAAAATTGAGCCATTAATATCACTTTAGGTTTAGGATTAATTTACTGATTATAATTTTACTTACGTTGATTTTTAAACTTTTAAACCAAAACCATTTAATATAAAGAGGAGCTCAATATTTCATTAAAAGAATCTTGATAGTGTCGATGTCTGTGAAGGTAAACTTACTTGTGCTTTGAGGTAAATTTTATAACCTTTAGTTTATTTTTGAAGTTACGTAATACTAAACATTCATATATTCTTGATAGATAATTGCAATATTAAATATTTTCATGTCGTGATTATTGTTTACAATATCTAATATACAATTATCATTTTAAATTGACTTATTTACATTTTGTTCAAGTTGTTTATCATTAATGTAGTTCGTAACAGAAAATTAGTTAGGCATTGCAACTCATTTCAATTAAATATCTTATGAATTTAAGTTTACTTTTCCCT